CACACACACACACACACACACACACACACACACACACACACACACACACACACACGGAGTTCTTGCTCCGTCTCTCCATCAGTTTGGGGACCCAGACTAAAATCGTTGACCCCTGCTTTAGCTGGAAACGTGGAGAGGGATAAGCAACTTTTTCAAGGCATGTTAAGATTTTAATCTTTACTGTTTCATGTTTCACATTAGGTTTTCTTCTTAACCAAATCATTCTTTCAAGTTCTTCGTTTTTTATTCAGGGATCAGATCTGCAGAACCTAAGGGGAAGATAATAACCGAATAAAAAAGATGCAGCGTTTTCCAGAAGATGGCAGTATTAACCTGGCTGTAGATCCAGACCAGTTCAGGTTCTCTCTCCTCACCAGGCAGGACCACATTTAGCCCCTCTCTCGTCTCTCTCTCACCTCCTCATTGATGTGAAGTCAGCAGGCAGACAATCCTAGCCGTCTTAGTTGGTATTTCTGTTGGAAAGCCTCAATAAATTTGCTATAAATGCTTCTGTCAAGACATGAGTCATCACAAGCTAACATCACCAGCTGTAGGACTGCAGAGGGTTTCGGGGGTGTTTGCTGTTTTGGGGGGGAAGCACAAACAAGCAACTGATAGTGAAAAGTTTTACTTTGACTTTGATGTAAATTTATCAGTCTGTCTCTCAGTCTGTCTAAAAAAAGTAGAAAATAAAAGGAAAAAAGCTTGCTGACTCGATCTGAAAGATTTTGTTACCTTTAATCAAGCCTTGATAATTTTGGTACCTTTAATTTACCCTAAATTAAATCCCACCATAAAACCAGCTCCTTCATATTGTAGCTACACATTGTTATTCTATAAACATTCCTGCTGCTGCCACACGTCCTGCTTCACTTTTCTTGTAAATGATCCAGTTTACTTCTTGTCTTTTTAAAATCTGGACCGCTCTCATTGGTCAGCTCAGATAGCAAACTCGGCAGCGTGCATCAAAGCAAATCTTTGCTTGATGTTTGGCCCAGTTGGACGGGCTTTAAGCAACACTTGGCGCTGTGATGTTGATACACAACGGAAGAAAAGGGCTGGACTGAAACGAAGGTGTTTCTGTCAGTACAGGAGCTGAATATTTTATGGAGGACTATAACTTTCCATCATAAAATATGTACAACTCGGACCTTTGGCATTCACAAAAAGGCTTTAAAACAAACTTAAAGTAACCCTGTCAAAGCCTGATATGTTCTTTACATGGTAAACTGGATGTGGCTATAGGCTGTGGAATGTTAATATGATTTAAGAGTTGCGGATAAAAGCTTTTTAATACAAAAATTACTACTAGTTTTAAACTAAGATCGTTTTTATTCAAAAATAACAGAGTAGTGAAAATAACACAATGTAAGATCACATGAGATATTGTGTCATCTTGTGAATGACTCTCCGTTACAACCAAATCAAAAGTTAACTTAACGCCTGTAAAAATTCACTGAGTTTTTTTTTAAACATTTTCTGTGTTTTTCCAAGGGCTGCTGGCTGTGGTAGCCATCTTGAATTAAGTTGAGGCCCAAGTTGTAAATGTCAACCAAATGATTACATTGTTGACGTTTCATTACAATCTGTGTTAACAGTATCAAACGCACACAAAGACAAAGGTAGAAAACAACTAAAATTTAGTCCATATTCACACCAACACAATCTGTTGTTAAATTTAACACTTTCATGATTTGCGTTGTTTTCCTAACACTAGATTTATTTTTCTATTTGTTTTACTTCAGTTTGTTTGTGATATTTCCTTGTTTTTCTTGCTTGTTTGTTTTGTCCCTGTGTTATTTGACCATTTCATATTTCCCTCAGTTGTCTTGACCTCAGCTGCACTCACTCAGGAATCATCGCTTGAACATTATGCTCCAGGTTCCCTCTCACTCCATCATAGTTTTACTTCTCGTTCCTCACTCCCCATGTTTCTTTGCTACTTGTGTTTTATTTTTAAATTTTCTATCTTTAGTTTGTTTTGCTTCCCTGTCAGCGTTTTATTTATTGAACTTGTTCCTATTTAGTTCCATTTGCTTCAGTTGTCTGCAGTCTGAGTCCTCTCAGTTTTAATCCATCCTGACAAATGCAGGGTTTTAAAATTTTGCTGTAACTTTTTTATACCATTCTGAAGCCCAGCATTTCTATTCTAATCACATCTTCCTCCTTTTTTTTTCTACAGATCTTTCCCACAGAGCCAGTAAAACCCCCTATAGACAACTCCACACTGTGCTTTGTGAACATACTCAAATGCTTTGTTTTTATAAAATAGACACTTTTTCTACCCTTTGCAATTCAAGAATTTTGCATACTGTTATCTAAATGTGTTTCTACCTTTTTTAAGTCAGGTTGTAGAAGAAGACTTTCCTCTCTGCTGGTTTTGTCTGAGTCTTTACATCTTTGGGACATGATTGCCAAAGATAAACTTGTTGTAGCTGAGAAATGACAGAGCTCTGTGCACGCTGACCCTGAGACCGCCTCCTGCTGCTTACTCTGGGACTCTAAATGGATTAAGTTGTCAGCTGAATAGCTCATCTGAGATTTTTAATATCCAGACTGAGGTATATCAAGCAACCCGTCTGGCAAATGGTATTGCAGTGATTCGCTTGTGTTTTATTGCAACCTTTCTCCCTGCACCTTTTTCTCATCTGCATGAAGATATGGTCTTGTCCTCTATGATTCCTCCAGGGTGTTCCACCTGTGCATTAATAAGACACTGAGCAGACTGAATAAAATCAACTCCAGAGTGAACAGGAGTTTTATTTTACTTCAATTTAATACAATTTATGAAGTGGAGGAACTCAAAGCTTTGCTGCATCTATAATTTCTTGGTCAGTTTTTACACTTTGGCAGATTTGCGTTGGGTTTCCTCCCACACCGTCTTAGATGTGAGCTGAAGGGGCTCCACCTCCTCCAAGATCAGGGTCACTTTTCCAGTTTTGCAGCCTATCAGAAAATTAACTGCACCAAAATTTCAATGGTTGTTTCTTCGCCAGTGTTCAGCGTCTCCTCCATTGAGTTTTGTGACGTTTGCTTTGGTGAACGTGTAATCAACAAACAAACTGTTGGATCACACAGTCCCTCCTCAGATCACATGTTGGCAGAGCAAATATGAAGAAAACAAAGACGGCAGATTCACGAGAGCTTAATGGATTTTCAGAAAGGAAAAAAAATCGGAGCAGAAGCTTGCTGACGTAATGTGAGCGGTCAGGAGGGGCCATGCAGTGACCACTCTGGCCTCTTTGTAGGATTTTATTGTGAACTTTGGATATCTATTTCAATTTATTCTGTTCAAGGAACTGACATAGTGAAAGTATTTGAAGAACAAAAAAAATTGTAAAAAAAATCTGACGGCAGAGAGAAAAAAAGACAGCAGTTGTTTGTGAGCTTGTGCATTTATTTTCTCACAGCAAATGTGTTGGTTTGTTGAGCATTATTTTTTTGTTTCTGCTGGTTTGTGTATCTGTGTGTGCTTGTGTGGGTGTGTGTCTGATCATAATATCTCAAAATACAGAGAAATAAACCACACATTTCCCAAACCACATTTCATTACCACAGAGGGGGACCTGATATTAGTTTTTTGAGTCACAAATAAATTTGAGTAAATATTTTCAGAGACATCACCAGAAGGCTGTCTTGTTTGGTTTGCATATAAGCTATATATGTTTGTTTTATAAGTAATCTGTAAAAAGAAACTAAGCTACTTTGTTCTAATTATAGAGAAAAAAATAGTCTTTTTCGTTATCCTTTTATCAAAACAGTCAAATAGAAAATATTTTTGCACAAAAATGAAATACTCTTTGTGAAACACAAATCAAACATTTCCTCCATTATGATAATTATAAAAAGAAAAAAAACACAGAGAACTGTCAATAAAACCTATTTATCATCATCAACTTTGTTTGTTTAAAGTGATTTAAATCAAAGGTTCTTATTTGAAAAAAAAAAAAACCTGTAATTACTTTAAGTTTTTATGGTTTAATATTATTCCAACTCTTCATTTAGTGACATGGTGGTGCAGACCTGTGCTCTAACGCTGTGGACATGTTTCATTACAATCTGTCCAGTAGTTCATGAGATTTTTTTGATGGTACTGCAGTCACACAAACACACACAAAAACATTATTGCCAGCTTTTCACCTTTCAGCCATGATAGACCTTACTGACAATGACATGTAACACCACTGATGGCTACCAGGGGTTCCACGATATCTTCCTCCAAAAAGCTCAAATTCAGTCCTTGACCATCTCAGCCGCTCAAGGTTATTTATTTAATATTACAAAGGAAATTATCACTTTGAATGAGTGACAATAAGAAGGCAGCAGGGACAGATGCTAGATGATTCTTTACTGTAAAAAATAAACTCTGAGTCAAATTTGTTTCTACTTTGCTGTTTTGAAAAAATAAACTTGAAGCTAAAATAGTGGTGACTCTTGTTATGCAGCCATGTCAGCTGAGGTGTTTATCACAGCCTGTTATATATTAATGCATGTTAGAATGTAACAGTTACAGATATATGAAGCAGGTGGAGTGAAAAAAAAAACCAAGAGAATTCAAGCAGGTCTGCATCAGAGCACATTAATTCATCAACTAGCTACTAAAGCACTGATTTCAAATAATCTGCATGAAATTATTTTTAATAATAGCTGTTGACAAAATTTGATTTGTTCACATCTTTATGAAGCTAAATTAAGAGCCAGAGCATAAAAAAATTGAGATTATTTCAATGTTTTATTTTATTTAAATTCAAAACAATCTGTTTAAAACCAGATCCAAATACAAAACATTTTAATATTAACTCTTAACATTTTAAGTTTAGCACTTGAGTTTGTTTAATTCAGTTTAATGCTGTTGTATGTGCAAGTGGTTTGGTTTCATGTTTAAATGAGCAAAATCTTCTTTACAAAAAGGTTCAATAAAAACACAACTACATATAAAGACTTGTTAAATGTAGAACAATTAAAAAAACTACTGTATGTCCAATACGTTCTGTTGTCCTGAAACTGTACATTTAAAACATTTTGAAACAATTTTTACATGTACAAAAATAATAACAGTAGGAGCAACAAAAAACTTCATGTTTATGTAAAAGTAATCCTAAGTTTACTTTTTCCTTCTGACTTATTTGTTGTCTATGTCTTTTATATGTCTGCAACTGATACACACTTGAATCAGAAAAAAATAAACAACTAAAGTAAATTCTGTGTGCATTGTCTACCACACTAAAACCTTCAAAAGATTTTTTTAAGAAAAATATTAAAATATAATGTAAATGGTTTTAACTTTTGTACTTTAAATGTTTTGTGAAACAGTGCTGTTTGTATTAATTCAGATAAAACAGAGAGGTGTAAGAGGGTACAGTCACTAAAGGTACTCTTCTGACTTTTATAAAGCACAAACAAGGGTACAAATAAGCCCCCACTGTTGAGGGTACAATAGCAGTACCTTTGAGGGTACCACCTCAGTGACAAATCAATGTTACAATCGAGGACTTTTGTTTCTGATAGTGTACAGGTCTGGAGTGCAGTTTCAGAAAGTGTTTAGGAACAAAATATAAATTTAAACACTAAAACAAATAGTCACTGCAAAGAACAGTTAAAAATCCCTGAAAAGTATATATTGCTGTAATTAAAACTACTGCAAATTTTTACAACTTACATGTGCTGTATTCCTATTAGGTTTCAGTTGCATGTGTGTGAAATCTCATGTGTCTTCAGTGTCTGATGTGTCTAACCATTTCTTAATGTTCACATCTAAACTTTTCTCCCTGTTTGGATTCTCGTGTGTTTTCTCATGTGTCTGTTTAGGGTTGACTTACACCTAAATTTATGCCCACAAAGATCACAAGCAAATGGTTTCTCTCCTGTGTGGATCCTAATGTGTGTGATTAGGTCTGTCTTTTGACTACATCTTTGTTCACAAAGATCACAAGCAAATGGTTTTTCTCCTGCGTGTGTAACCCAGGGTAAAAACTGCCCTTAGTCCCGCCTTTGCTGCTCCATTGGTTAGAGTGACAGTCAGTCACACAGTGCATTCAGCCAATTAACGCACCTGAGGTATTATTTGGGCCTGCTCCAGCTTTCCCAGTCAGGTGTGAGGGGGAGAGCTGGAGACAAAGGAGCTACAGGTTGGTGCTTCCAAACAATCAGTCCATCTCTTTGTTTGTTCTGCATTTTTTTAAACTTACAATATAAAAATCATGTAGATCTGAACATCCAGTGAGCTTGGAGCCATGAAGCTGTCATGCACTGAACTATAAATGGAATTGGTGAGTAGTGAAGCCAATGTTGTTTGTTTTGTTTAGCATCTTGGTGGTGGTAGCCAATGCTAATTGTTGATCAATTGTCATATGATCTAATTCTTTAAATTCAACATAATGAGATAAATGTTTTATTTTRTCTGAAAGATTAGATTTAGGATATAATTGCATTTATTTCTATATGTAACTGAAAAAAGTCTAGTTAACTAGCAGGCTGGTAATTTACTGGTCCTGTTTATTTTAATACAGGCCAGGTGACCCTTTTTAGGGTTAAAGGATGGCGAGCTTCTGAGAACTGGCTGGGGC